ATGCTTTGAAAAGCAAAATTGCTGAATAGGAAAAAGCAAAGAAACTACAATTCCATGGAATGCAGAAGATGCCACCGAAATCCTTCAAGGATGGGTAATTAAGGAGAACTCTGAGGAGAAAAACTCTATGTTAGGGGGCTGGAGAGGGGGCTCAGTTGTTATGAAAACTTGGTGTTCCTTCACAGGACCTGGGTTCAATGTCTGGCTTCTCATGATGGCTTACAACCAGTTCCAGGGGATCCCAGACCTTCTTCTGGCCTCCATGGTACCAGGCACACACACGATGCACAAACTTCATGTAGGTAAAGCACCCAGATAACACAAAATAAAATATTTAAAAACATAAATGATGCCCTTAAAATGACAACCAGGAACAAAGGCAGTGCTACATACCATCCTTTGCAGACTTCATCTTAGCTCTAGCTAAGGAGACTGCAGAGTATTCCTTAGACTCTCGGTAATAATTATTACCATAAAGCTCATAGTACCATTAATCAAATATCAGGGTATAAATATGTGAGCTGATCACTTGCCAAGCTTATAAAGATACTGTCTTGGTTAATGAGGCACTCGTGGCAATCCACAAAAGGACAGAACGTTTGGAATAATGTACAGTTTAATGATTTTGGTGTGTGATATTTCTGTATTTGTTGATGTTCTTTGGGAATGGAGTCCATTTTTGCTTGAATTAGAACAAGCCTCAGCAGAGGAAGTAGCACTTTGAAAACACATGCCCATATTTCTGCCTCTCTGATGCTGAGAAAGGTCACAGGAATTTGGAAGATAGTGACCTTCAGGGTAGCTGAATGGCAGCATCCAGGTCAGAACATATTTTGAGATGTAGGTCCAAGGAGAACTGCAGCCACAGTAGCACTTTGATCATCAGAGCTGCAAGCCCAGATCCTCCACCAAAATTCTTAACATGGTTAAGAAGGAGAGGTTGCTACACTTAAGTCAGAGTCTCCAATCGTAGCTCCAGGCTCTTTCCTTAAACTCATTTATCTACACTATGGACTGCAGCACAGCCTCTCCGGTCATGAAAACACAGAACAACATAGCCTCTGGGACACATTAAAAGCAGCCCTCTAAGGGAGATTTACAGCTCTAAGTGCCTACATTAAATGTTCAGAAAGAGCACAAAAAAAATGACTTAATGATGCTACTCAAAAATTTGGAAACACAAGAACAAGTCAAACCCCAATCCCATAGATGGCAATAAATAATAAAAATCAGAGCAGAAGCTAATAAAAATAGAAACAAAAAAAATTAACACAAAGAGTCAGTGAGTCTGTTCTTTTAGATTGACAGACCCTTTCCAATGAGCCAGAAGAAAGAGCGGGGCCAAATTAATAAAATCAGAAATGTAAAAGGGAAACATTACAGCAGACATCATAGAAATTAAAAATATTATAAGGGACTACTTTAAAAGCCTTAACTCCATTAAGTTAGTTCACCTAAGAGAAAGAAACAAATTTCATCCAAACCACTCAAATTAAACAAAAAAGAGATCACCATCTCTAAAAAGACACAACTAAGGAAGAGTTTGAAAGAGTAATAAAAAGTTTTCCAACTAAAGGAAGACCAGGATCAGATAGATTCATGACATGGTTCTACCAGAATTTCAAAGAATATCCATGGCTAATTCTTCTTATTAAAAGAAAAGAAACAGAAGGAGCACCCAAATTAGACAAAACACAACACAGAAAACAACTGGGCAATATTCCTGATGTACATAGAGTAAAAAAATCCTCAATAATATACTTGTAAACTGAATGAAAACATACATCAAAAAGACTATCCCCGTGACCAAGCTGGCTTTATCACAGAAGGGCAAGGGTGGCTCAACATACACACATCAATAATGTAAAAGACCACGTCAATGGACTTGAAGACACATGTCATATGTTCATCTCAATAGATGCAGAAAAAGCCTCCAGTAAAAATTTACTGGAATGACCAGAATACCTCAAGCTACCAACTAAGCTCCTGATCACTGCCCTCTAGCTATTCCAATCCCCTTCCTTTCTTCCTTTGTTTGCATGAGTGTGCGTATGTGTGGCGTGGTGTATGTGTAGATACATGTACATATGGGTTTATGTGCAAGTGTGCGCATGTGACGGATAGAGACTGATGTCTGCTGTTTTCCCCAGTCATTTGGCACTATCCTTTTTGAGAGAGTCTCTAATCCCGGACTCCTCTGACTGGTTCTGGGTAGATTGCCAGCAAGGTCTGGAGATGAGCCTGTTTTTTCAGCACTTGGATTGCAGATGCATGCTGCCAAAGAAGACTTTTTATAGGGTCTGATTGTGAGAGCCGCAGGTTGGCAAGGACTGGAGCGAACCGTTGTCTTCATACTACAGGACCTCTGCTCTCAGGTGCTCAGAGAGGCAAGACGTTTTTATAGAACAAAAAAGATAAAAGCTTTTTGTAAATGTCAAATTTTCGCTAAAAGTCTTGTCATTTTCAAGCTGAAGCTGCTTATTTCCTGAAATTCAGAAGATGACATACAGCCAAGGCCCTTTCATGTTATGTTTTTCTGGGATGCAGTAAAATAGTATTGGCTTTTGCCATTCCCAAATTATACAACTGTCAGGAAAGGTTGAGGAGGGTCCATATTTCCTGACAGTTTAAGGATTTTTTTTTCCTCACATCATACATGTTTTCAAACAAAACTTCTTATTTAAAAAAAAGTTAAATTCCCCCCTTGCAGCATTATTTGTGTATGTGACTGAATAGAATTTTGTGAAAATATGATTTATATCTATCCATCTAATTCATTCATTTTTGTGACACTGTGTACCCATTAAGTCACTTTTCATTGTTAAAGAAAGTGTGTTTTTTTGTTTTTGTTTTTTGTTTTTAGATTCAAATGACATGTTCACATATACCTTATGACATGATGTTTTTGCAAGGCCTAACAGTAAATGAAAATTTCCTGGGAGGCTTTGAAACATTTGTCACCCAGACAAATAATAGAGTATTGGCCCACAGGACTCTCTTGGAAAAGCAGTTTTTGTTTGGCTGCCTCAGGACTATATACCAGATCAGTGTACACCAGGACTCCCAGAGGCTGCCTCCTGCCTCATTGCCTGGGAAAGGGAAATGGCGGCACTGGATAGAAGGGAGAATCAGTACCAGTGTACACAGTAGCACTTTTCACATCGCAGAGCCTAGTGCATCATGCCAGGTAAGTCGCAGTGGCCACGGCTGGAGGGAGCTAGGCACAGTCACCTGCAGCCAGCAAGCAGGGAGTGACGTATGCGGTGGCCAGCCAGCTTTCTCCTTTCATACAGTCCAGGACCCGCCCATGGAAGTGTGCGGCTCGTAGGTGGGTCTTCTGCCTCAGTTATTCTAATCTAGAACTTAGAGGCCTGCCCAGAGGTGTGTCTCCTAGGTGATTCTAGATCCTATGACGTTGACAGCAACATTAACCACAACAAGATGTAAAGGATGTGAGGCCTACGGCTCCTTCCTTATAGCTCCATCCCTTTTCAGCCCTGAAGTACTGAGATATACTTGGTACAGAGCAATTCAGCAGGTGCTCTGGCGTGGCTTGCTTGCTGGGCATTAAGGGCAGAGTCAGTCACTGGAACCTTGATCCTGGCTTGCTGTTTGGTACCCAGGCATTAACTAGACACAGCTGGCTCACAGCGTAGCTCCATCAAAGAAATGAAGTTGAATATCTGAGCATGGACATGCTCATGTTGAACCCCAAGCAGACTCGCTAAAGGTCTTAACAAGGGAGAAATGGTAGGAAGGGTCTGAACTAGACTCAAAGTGGTTGTTCTTCATTTTATGGATGCTTCTTTTCTGGTAAGTGTGTCAGCATTTCTGCTGATCTCTGCTGTGAACTTGCTGGTGTAGATACAGCTTGACCAAGTATCTCTGACGTTATGAGCAGCCCAAACCAGCCTCATGGCATATTCCCAGAGAGAACATGAGATGATTGAACACCTAGTCCAAACATCAGCCACTTTAGGACTCAGGCTGCCTCTTTTCATGAGACCCTGAGTGGTTATCTAATTAGATTGAGAAAACTTAAGCCCAGGAATATTTATTCCTACCTCAAAAAGCTACCACGATACCCACATGACTTTGTGCCTGTCATCCATGGGGAGAGAACACAGTGGAGTGTGTCCTCATGAGACAGAACTTTTTTTCTCTCTCACAAGTTTCAGGTACTGTTATAAAGTTAATAGTTTCTCACCTTGAATATACTTAGCTGTATTTACTCGTCATGACTTCCCAAGACATAATAATATACATTACAGAAAGAAGCTTTCACGATCATCCCAGTAATGGACTCTGTAGAAGGGCCTGATTCCTTCCACTTACATGGTCATATTGATTTCCTTATTGGCACTTCATTTCAAGGCATATTGTAGACCGTAACACTAATGCTTTCATGACTATTTGAAGGTTGTTATGTGGGGTTGGAGAGACGTGTGAGCAGTTAAGAGCTCTTGTTACTCTGGAAAGGACCGAGGTTCAGTTCCCATCACCCACAGGGAGGCTCACAACCAGCTGTAACTCCCGTCCCAGGGGATCTGACACCTCTTCTGGCCTCCCTGGGCACTGCCTGCACAGGGTGCACGGACATTCCAGCAGGGCCTTCAAATCTTTAAAGATCCTTAGTAATAGATGAAGAAATCATAATTATTTTTAAAGACTTTCACTTTTGCTATGATTCCTTCAGATTTTTTCCTTTGGTTACCACAAAAATATAGACAGTCAAGAATAATGATCATCTCTTTTCACTCTTTTTATAAATGCTTTTAGGTATAGATATTTAAATACATTAAATAACAAACATGGCATATTACGACAGTTAAATAGTATGCTGTCTAGACAAAAATTAGCTATATCTTTGACACACATCCCTATACATAAGCAGAAAGTAAATATTATTTTCCAGGAAATAAATTCATTGAGAAAACTCTCTCTTTCCCTTAATGTAATCCCACAGGTGATAAAGCATGCTTCGAGTTTATTGCTGTTACCTTAAGATTTTTGTCACTGCAGCTTCCTTTTCCAGAAGGTTCCTCGCCCTGATGCTGAAAACAGACTTGCGGAGCTGAAAGGTGTAAGGACCACTTTAGCTTTGGGTTGTAAAGGAATGTTATGTTTACAATTCACGAGACAGAAGTCATTATTCAAACACTGGTTCTCTTTCCCCTTTTGACCTCTATGTCTCATTTACCTTTCTCTTAATATCTCCTCCTCCCATCTTATGATCCCCCTTTCAGTTTCATTGCTACTGCACATATGACAAAACTGGCATTTGTTTTCTGAGTGTGGCTTAATTCACTTAACATAACCATTGAGGGTTTCCTAGTTTTATTTATCTGCACTTTATCGTGACAGATGTGTAGAGATACCTGTGTCTCTGCACAGACTGTAAAGCAGCCTCAGCTACGGCATGGCACATGGTGTGTACATGGCTGTAGTCATGCTGTCAGGCATCTGAAGAAGTCCTCAAGTCCCCAGAGGACTTGATGTTGAAGTTAGCACTTGGAACATATATCCATCATCACTTAGTGAAATGTTTTCTAATTTACACTATGGTGCTGCATGCTCTTGGCCTGTGATCTAATACTAATCTTAACATGGGTCCAGGAGGTGTTTTATTTTTCAGGCATGGGGGTAGACGACAGGAAGAAATGGTCAATGTTTGCCTCTACGTGATGATGATAAAAGTGATTCCAGAGAAAAGGAGACAGAGAGAAAGCAAGCAGGAGGGGGGGGGGGAAGGAAGAGAGAGAGAGAATCAGGTTAGGTTCCTGAGAACTGAGAGCGGAAGACAATGATAGGAGAGTGAGGCACTGTCTATCACCAGTAAATTATCTTATCTAACCACTTGGCACATGTATCAGTAACTGACAACCAAAGATTGATAGAAGGTAGGTTCTTGACCTCTGAGACTGAACAGCTCAGTAAGGTAGGCCAGGCGAGAACATATGAGCTCGCATTTACAAACCAGCCCATCAATAAGCACTATCATGTGAACCAAGCTGTCCATATGGCCAAGGTTGTAAAGGGACCAAGCTACAAACCCTCTTTTCTTCTGTGTGAGCTCATGTGGAGGTCAGAGGCTCTTCCTTTATCACTCTCCACTTTGGTTTTGCAATGGAATCTCCCGCTGAACCTGGAGCTCACTGACTGGCTAGAGGGCTGGCCAGTAAGCTCAGGGTCCTCTGTTCTCTGTATCCCAGCGCTGGGCTCACAGATCCTTCCTGCCACACCCAATGTTCTGTGTGGGCAGCAAAGATCTGGACTCAGGTCCCCATGCTTGCACTCACCTAGTCATCACTCTAACCCCACAGACTGGTCCTTGCTATCACCACCTACCACTGAGGCAACATCATGGTGCTAATGTAGTTTTCATGTTGCACAGAAAATCTGAAATGAAGTGTAGGATCATTGAGCACACTGACTTTTCTACCTGCATCCATGACAATTTTATCTTTTTGTAATGAAAAACCGAATAGTTTTTGAATTGACTAGAACTCTTAGGAAAATTAATCACATGTTCATAGAGACTAGAGTGAATGGCATTCATTTAGAAGGTATTTCATGGGAGTATATAAAGGGTATTTACTTTCCTAGATCTGTCACTCCTAAAGAAGTGACACTGGGAGGATTTTATAATCTCTTTGAAGGGCCTGTCAGGGGAGGGGTCTGCTCTGGCCACTAAAACATGCGGTCAGGAGTCAGAAGTCAGGGCCAGGCTACAGGAGGGTCCCCAGTGGCATACTGTGGGCAAGGAAGGCAGACACCATGATGCTCAAAGCTAACAGTATTCCTTACTTGTCTTTTGCACAAGGCAGCAACCGGAACCCAATCACCGTGAACTGCCCTTTAGCAAAGCAGCTGGTAACAAACACACATCTGCATATTTGGGATGCTATCTACTACAGTAAACTTGAGTTGATTAAAGCAATGTAGTGCTCATGTGTTCAAAGTTGTTCTTGACGATGGTTCTATAACAACAGAACTAGTAGGATGTTTTCTGTTTTTACATAAAACCTACAAATTAAGCATTACTAGGAAATGAAAGATGGGCTTTTGTTATGCTAGGTATCTTTCTATTTATATTTAAGCATTTCTTTTCACAGAAAATAAAGGTCTGTATATATCAATTGTTTTTTGTTGCTTGGCTGTGTTCATAAAGCTTTATAATTTTCCCTTTAGAACAGATACTAGATTGTGCCTCTCACAAAGAACTCAGAGCATCACTGCTGCAGTGCCCTCTTCTGGCATCAAATGATACTGCTAGTCACCTGAAATAAGGGCTACACAGAGCCGTTTCAAAACGTGTAATTCCAGACCTTAAGTTGCAAATCACAACCGTGAAAGGAGTCAGTAACAGCTGAATACAGGTTGCAGCAAATATGCAGAAAATAAGAGCTAGAGAGGACCCATTTGGATAGAGCTTGCACTAGAAACAAATGGTTAGTTGAAAATATTTTTATGTTTTACAGTTTTATTTGCAAACCTAATATGTTTGAATCACAAAGTTATAATTCTTTGACTGAATTAGCAAACAAAAACAAATTCACTAAATTTTAATTTAAGTGTTGAAGTAAAACAGATTTTTTTTTAACATCTTAAACTTTGGATTTCAAGGATATGTTTACATCTTGAGTTAAAGCTTGTATGAGATCTTAGGTTCGGCTTCCAGTAACACACACACACACACACACTGACTGGTGTTTCTTCAATTGTACACTTTAGCACAGAACTCAAAAGCCATAGAGCTCAGCACGGTTTCTGCACAGGTACTGTAATCTGGGCTAGAATAGAAGGAATGGATGGGTGGCTCGTGTTGATTTTTAGAAAGGTCAGGGTGGGGCATTTCTCCTGCAGTTCCTGGCTTGGGCTCTGCTGAGGGCAAAAGGCAGGTGGTCTTCCGCCTTCTCTGTTTTCTGTGAGTCAGTGGTCGATTCGCAGTTATGTTGGGGTTTCATCTCTCTGTCAGAGCCATCTTTGGTGTCCTGCTCTGCCACCAGGATGCACATACTGTCCGTGTCTCTCTTTTTGTGGTGTCAGTAGCATTAATGTTCATCGCACAGACTCATCCCATTTGCAAGGTTGTCATCCTGCATTTCATTGAAATGATTCTTTAATAGGGAGCTGTCCCTCCTGGGTTAGTTTTTAACTATCAGTATAGTCCTCATAGAAAAGAGGCAAGATGAGCTCATAATTATGGATATTTTCATACCAGGTACTAATAGTTAATAATTTGATACAATTTTTAAATGTGACTAATTATTTAAAATATCCCTAAGCATTCAAGCTTAAGACAAACTTGATGGATTTTAATCCATTACAATTGCTATTTTTAATGTTATTATTTATTCCTTGATAATTTAATACAATATATTTTAATTACATTCTTTCCCCTTCTCCAACTCCTTCCAGATTCTTCCTTCTTCCTCTAATGCTGATTCTCTTATAATATGTCAGGTGATCAACTGCCTATTGGCCCATCAGTTCTTTTGGCATGACTCTAGCAGGTGTTGGCACAGATTCTTGCTCACAGCAATTACAAATGCTCTACAATTATGTGTACTTCCTACTCAAAATCAATACTTTCTCCGAGCAGCCCTGATGTACTTATTGGGATTTTTTTTTTCACATAATCTAGATTTCAGTAATGTTTATTGATACGGGTACTGGCCACCACTCTGGGACTTCACCTGAGCTGACTCTCATAGTTTCAATTTAGATTCAGGACACAGAAGTTTTATTTATGTCTTCTATATTACATCAATATTTTTTATTTTGATTTCAAGACTTGATTTTCCAAGAATTTAAGGGATGGCAGAATTGACTATTGCATAATTATTCATCAGTTTTATTTCATAGTTCACAGATAATCTCAGAACAACGATAGATACGCAGTCCCACAGCCAAGATGACTCAAGGACACTGAAAGAGCGGAGGCGCAGTTCTGCTTCCTGTCTGTCTCAGACCATCACGGCACACGGCTGTGGAGTATTTCTCCTTTAGCTCCACCCTCGCGTTGTCTCAGCTCTTCTGCATGTGTGCCTCCCACTGCCACTTTGTACTTCCATTAGCGTCTGAGTGACTCCTTCAGGTGACGTGGTTCTCAGAGGCGTGGTCTTCACACGTTTCTTTGGGAAGAGCTCACGGAGCACTATTGCGCAGCGCTTTGTGTAGTGACATCTTGGTAACAGCTCTTCTGACTCTTTCATCAAGAAACTTAGTTTTCCTGAGAATTAAAAAGAAAAGCCTGTCTCCTAGTCTTTCCTGGCAGTCCTATGTGGTTCTCTAGTTTCTTTTGATCTAAAGGATTGTTGCTGAAGTTTCTGATGATGATTTGATGTTCATTAATTTAGAAGTCACTTGCTGTTTAGGGAGACAAACGTTACAACACCTTTAAAGTTTAAAGTCTTATAACATATGTGGTATAGATCATATTTCTGGCCTGTCCTGGGCAATATTTCCAGAGACATGGCATGCACTTTCCACATTTGCTTCAAATATTCTGTATTTACAGTGTTTGTTGCTTATTCTGTATCTTGCTGTGTATTATCCACTCTGAATGCTTAGAATAAAAATGTGGACATTATTTTTATTTATTTTTGATTTTAAAATGTATCCCTGGGAGCTGGGGAGATGGCTCAGCAGGTAAGCTGCTTTCAGAGTACCGGTACCACATGAAAGCCCGTGAGTGTAACAACCATCCTGTTACCCAGCACTCCAGACTTAGCCACATGGCACCCTCAGAGCAATCTTGCCTACACACAATCTAGTATTTATAATTATTTTATATTATTGCTTTTACTTATAATTCTTTCCTGAGTCAGCACCTCACTTCTGACTTCTTTTTTAAACTTTTATGTGCTGTTAATTTAACCTTATGTGGTTTTAAATATCTTTTAACTCACTTTGCCCCAGGCGAAAGTATTTAAAGATATGGCTTTATGGCATGCTTTCTGTTCATTTTTTTTTTCTTATGACTTATAGGATGTTTGATTTCCATGTTTGGCTTGTTCATTCTTATGCAGCCCCGGGTTCACCAAGCAGCTCAGTGTTTCTCACCTCCAG